TATCTCAGTAGATGTGCCGTCTTTTATTGATCAGTTATAAAGTCTAGCAATGATCTTTTGCTTACACTGTCTGCGGCGACATGTTGTGCCGATCCCCATTCGACTCGTTTCTAGGCAGCTGTTATTCATGAACGTCATCTGATTTCGCGTGTGGGCTTAGCTGATGCTTGAGGACTTTTGATTTACAATCTTAACCGTTCTATTTACTGCCTACTCTTTTAAATGGCAGGGTATATCGCGGAACAATTTCAGTGATGCTGAGATATTGCAAAGACTCCGGACCGCAGGTGTCTGCGGTGGGAAATGAACGCGCTATTGTCCTTTCCGGGGAGTAACGTGTTCACCACCACACCATGAGAGTCTTTCGTTTCGCCTGTCTCTCAGGCTAGTTCTATCGATCTTTTGCCATCAGCAATCACCCGTCAGTAAATCTGGGGACCCGGGATCAAACACCTGCGGTCCGGAGTTTTGCCAATATCTCAGCATCATTGAAGTTATACTTTTGATTTATTTTATAATGTCGTTGAAGACTAGTCGAGTCGATTGTCCGTCAGACCCTGAGCCGCGCTAGGGCGTTTTCGGATCTTCATCACAAGCAGACACTGTTTTATTTTTGTAGTTTGGAAGGTGCTAGTTGAAACCGGACTAATATGGCGCTAGTTTACCGACTCTGACCTCCGAACACAGTGTTCGTCATTGAGTGGGTAGCTCCTATTTTTATAAGCATACCGTCAATGGACGGTTCTCATCTGATCAAGAGCTAATATTCATTGAAATATTATTTGCAATAGCTTAAATACTGAAGAAGGTGTTAAAAGCGATTAGTTACAAGTATAGCGCGTAACTCTAACTGGACGAAGCACGTGGTGACTCCGTTAGCAACTGTGTCCCACCATGAGAAGTAAAGCTCGCAATGAGAAGACCACCGACTGACGAATATTTTCGCAAGGATTAGATATAGTGTCCTTGTTGCTTGTTCTCGAAAATACTTGAGCGGTTGGATACTTGGATGGCCCGTCTTCACTGGTTGTGCGGACCCCAGCATAATTTCCATTCTTTCGGAGTTTTGCTGGCTTAGCAATTATGGTTCCCTGGAGTCCCGAGCAGAGCAAGGCCGAAGTCTGCCCCAGTTCTCGAGCATAACTCACTAGAAACTCTGGCACACGACGAGCACAAAGAGAAATTACTGATGCTCACTCGAGGCATTCCACAGTCAAAAGAGGATAGGTGACGGGTGGTGATATAGGTGCTGGCCTAAGAATTTGAAGTGCTGTTCCTGATGTCTGGCCGTTACCCTGTCCGATGATGGTAGTCAAATTCTCCTACATTCCTCTTCGACTAATTTCTCTATCACTGAGCTACACCACATTAATCCAAAATTCACAAATGTTTCTATTTCTATGAGTACGATACCATAGAAGGTTTGCAGTAAGAAATACTTCGGTATAAAAATGAGCGGCAAAGTTTTAGGTCTCGTTTGGCTGGGGAGAAACGTAGCCCTCAACTCACAGGAACGAAAAGCAAATGTTTTGAAATAATTTGGCTTCTGTGGATTTACAGGATTACTTATTAAGTTATATAACTAATTCTCGGAAAACCTATAAGTGTCTAGCAATTCCCGTTTTCTCCACCTACTGCGGCCTTTACAGATGAATGATTTGCCAGATAATTCTCATCCTTCCCAACTAGAATTTCCTTCCTGGGAAGCGTTCAAGTATTTAACTGGGTGAACAAATAGATGCCTACTTTCTCCTTGTTTTTCGGAAGACTATCCCATGAAAGGGCGCGTGTGGCGCAGCGGTCGTAGGCGCCCGGCAACACACCTGTGGAATCGGTCCACACACCCATGGCGCACCAAACCCTCTATCTCTCCGGGGTCGGCAAGTTGGTATTACGCTTGTCTGCGGGGATAGCAGCACTGGCTCGATACATCGGTAAGCCACCGCGAGTCATTGTAAAGGCCAGATATACATTCAATCACCTCCAAACGATGCTTAATGAAGTCGAATTCATGGCGCATCCCTCAAGGATTGATCAACGCCGAGAGCTTCATCCTTTTTTTTTTGTCCCTCGAAACGAGAATACACTTACTGTAAATTTCGGACAAATCGTTCTTTCGTTGTGTCTATGGAGCAGCAAGGAGTTTTCTTGAGAAATGCTAGATCTCCTTCCAAAAGGTAACTTGCAAAGAAGGATCATGATGCGTCACGTTAAGGCAAAGGTCGTCGCAATAGAGAAAGCTACTCTTCCGTAGCTTTCACACGTGTATAAAAGTGTTTCCACTTGTCCACTTTCTTAGCATCCGAAGCCGATTTCTTGACACTTAGAGCAGTTGAGGACATCTTTTCTGAGGCTTCCGTGGTTTTGAATCTCTTTAAAGATCAAATCAGTGAAAAACTGGAAGGGATACTTTTATTTTGAGTGGTTAACGCCAGCGCGGCAGCACTTGGGGACACTATTTTGCATTGCTCTACAATATCCCGTCTCTTCGTTACTCAAAATAGGAGCTATGGTGGAAAAACGAAAAGAAAGTTCTTTGGAATAACGAAAACAGAGGTTAATCTTGGTGAAAGAAGAAAACTTGTATCCCATGGGCGAAGGCCTGTAGATTCTAGTCGTTTTTATCGCAGATAATAAAGTTCAAAGTAAGCTGAGACATAACTGCTAACACTTGAACAGCACAAATATTTTCGGCCACGTGCATTGTATACAATACACAACGACACAACGTCCACTATAAGTAATACGGTTGTCAGGGTTCATCCTGTAGCTACGTATCTTTCATTTTGCTTCTCTTTATCATCCACGTGGTACGGGAGGATGAAGGCATAAATAATCATGAAGTAGCACATCAACCATGAATGATAGAAATGTAAAGAGTAAATGGTATCTTTTTCTCGATGCATGTTCATATACATATAACGTCTATTTTGAAGTGACTTCGAATTTTTTTAAATTTCCATTTATTTCACGCGTATTAGGACGCGTTTGGCGCAGTGGTCGGAAGCGCCCTGCAACACACACGTGGAATCGATTCCCGCACCCATGGCCCAGCAAGCCTTCTATCCCTCCACGGTCGACAAATTGGTTCCATACTTGTCTGGGAAGATAGCAGTACTGGGTCAATACATCAGTAGGCCACCGCGAGTCATTGTAAAGGCCAGATATGCATTCGGTCACCTCTAAACGATGCTTAATGAAGCAGAGTGCATAGCGCATCCCACAGGGATTGATCAACGCCGAGAGCTTTATCTTTTTTTATCCTTTATTTATTTTATATGACCTACCTTTACGTCTGCTGTGCGGATCCTAGCAATTCTCACATTCATTTCGTTTCCTCGCATCCATTGTCCACGAAGATCTTCCAACTTTTAGGTGTGGCTTCGGCTGCTGCTTGAGGATTTTCATTTCATCTTTAATGTCGTAGAATGCGGGTCGAGCAATTCTCCTTGGAGTCCTGGGACAGCCGTGCTGAAGAGCTCCCAATTGCACTGCAGTGTTTTGTGTGCTATCCGCCCCATGCAAGTTCGGATTATAAATCACGATGTAATCACTTTTTGTTTACTGCTCATCCCTTCTTTTTCTATGGAAAGGTATGATGTGAAACCACCAGTTAGGATTCTTTGCTGTGATTCAAGTCACAATAAAGTGCTGCATGCAGTTTGAGCTAAATTTACACGATGTTCGCCTTATACAAGAGGTTCCACATATCGCTGTTTCGTGGTGAACACTCTACTACCTCTTATTCCCTCCATCACTTCCGCCAGCAAGTCCAAGCTGTTCCCATTAATCCGGTATTATAACAATAGGGGGGGGGGGGGGGGGGGGGGGGGGGTGGCGCAGTGGTTAGTGACGTTGTCGATGAGAAATCAAAAGGCGATCCCAATCCACGAGGGAAAGACTTGGGCTGGATATCTCCAAGTTAGCCAGGAGAACTGGCTCGACCAGGATTCTATATCCATAAGGAACACGAAATCCTCAAGCAACAGCTGAAACAGCAGACGAAATGTTCGGAGACCTATGTGGACGACGAGTGCGAGGAAAACGAATGGAATCCCAGAAAAGCTGGGATCCGCACAGTAGATGTGATGACGGATCATGTAAAATAAAACAAAGAAGAAATCACTACGACATAAAGAGAGAGAACTCTTCCCATCCTTTCTTTCCTAGTGGTAAACAAGGCCAAGTGAATGGCCCGCCAACATTCGTGTTGCTCGCGAACCGCACCGCGTCCTAGGGAATTGGGGTTCGTTGTATTAAGAAGGTCATGAATTGTCCTTGCTTTTCGAAAATCTCTATGGTCATTGCTAAGTTGTCTTGTTTAGGGTTATTTCCTTTACATTGTTGAGGAGATGCTCGAAGATTTATCACTGTGGGCAGTGTTAGCTTCTTGGGCTACAATTTCCTTAATGGCGATCGCGCTGGTAGCACTAGATCGTTTTCAGTCCTTCCTGGACGTTTGTTTTTGATCATATTTGAGTACTGCATATGGATATGATTCTTCACCGTCACATCTTTCCCACATAATCTATGTTGTTCCGTGAGTTTCACTGCGTTTTCGGAATCTCAACAAGGTTGGGCATCCACTGTAATGCTGAGATATTTGCAAAACTCCGGACCGCAGGTGTCTGTGGTGGGGAACGAACGCGCTATTGTCCTTTCCGGGAAGTAACGCATTCACCGCCACACCATGCGGGTCCTTCGCTTCGCCTATCTCTCAGCTAGTTCTATCGATCTTTTGCCAATCCCGTTGACAAATGGTTATTACAGTAGTTATATTTCGCAAAATACCCTGCCGTTAAAAAGAATAGGCAGTAGATAAAAAGGGTTAGAAAGGGTTGGCATCCTTCTTTCTTTGTAACTCCAGTCATTTAACATCATATTATAGTCTAGTCGAGTTCATTTCTGAGTCTATCTTCCTATTTTATTGTTACCGTCATGCAGAGCCACGTGTTTGACGCAATCGCATTGCTTCTTTGTCTGTTCAGTTTGGTTGCAGGATGCAGACGAGCGCTACATCCCACTCACATCCTCCGACCCACTCACATCCGCCCTCATCATCACATCCTCATCATCACCATCATCATCATAATCATCAGCACGCCAGAAGTAGCCACAGGTCTGTGAAATAATTTTTTGAAGATTTCCTTTACGACCGTTTCCACTGTTATTTTTTCCATAAATTCGTTTAAGATGTTGTTAGTTTTGCTAAAGATAATAGAAGTGCTTGTCGAAGTAGAAATTAACTTTCCAAACATCAAATAGTCTCATCTTTTTGTGATCCTTCGGTGGCGATTTAGCGCGTCATCATGGATGGGAAGTGTTCCTGGGTGTCAGGCTTCGATGTCAGCGGGGGGATTCATCCCAACAGCAGTCCCCGAAGCTGGGAACGAGTCCAGCGTTTCCGGCGTTTCCAACGTTTCCATCAGGAAGCCCAGCTGAGGGTAAACCAATACCGGGATTCACTACCGTCCTGGTACCAAACTAATCACATGGTGGCAGATCTTCCTCTGATCCACAAGGGCTGCGGTTGCTTATGGTGGTTACGACCTCGGGCAAACTTTTGCTAGGTTCACCTCAGGGCTCCAGGAAGCACAAGGGCTAAGCCAGCAAGACTCCGAGAAAATGAGAATTGTGCGGGGTCTGCACAAGTAATGAGGGCAGACCATTCAAGAATCCAAGTAACTAAGTAGGTGTTTTTAAGAGTTGAGTAATTCCTTGTTATGTTTATCTGTTCTCGGATGTTTTGTTGAATACAGTCAGAATGGATGACGAATTTCTTTCACTACAATATACCAGTAGACTTTAATATCTTAAGTAGAAGCTTTACTTTTCCGAGTCGTTTGAAATTGCACTGATTAAGATCTAGTACACCTTATCTTTTAATTTACTCGTTTTGCTTTTTTTTTTCTGTTCATGGATGACGGAAAACGGCATGTTGAGTCCTTTCCTATTGCCATACGTAGAAGATGGTGCTGTAATCATTGCATAGCACATAACAGTTTCGATATCCCTTTTAAAGTAAATAGCGTACTAACGGCCATAATTATTCCGGTGAACAAGGTTCACTGGATAAAGGCTCCGTGAGGATTTGGTACTCCATCATGGTTTGTGCTATTGATTTTATCTTTAATTTAGAAGAAAATTGATCTGTTTTAGAATAGTCCGGAAAAAACAGGTCTTGCTGGGGTTTGTTGTCATGGCGTACATATTCAGATGGTGTTGTTTTTTCATAATTCTTTGCTAGATGAGCAACTTACATACGTCCTTATATCATTGGGGAGAACTGAATGTCCTTGCTTCTTCAGTCGAGCAAAACGGTCGTGATGCACCGTGCTCGTAGTTCTGTACAGCTTCTTTAACATTCTTGCAACTGTTCTAAACTTGATTTTAATGAAAACGGTCTATCCCAAGTTTTCGTAGCTACCTTTTCGAATAAGATATGCTCATTATGTAGAAGGAAGCTTTTTTTTTAGTTCTAAGAAGAGACCATAACTATTGGGAAACATTCTGCTGCGAGAAGTCAGAGCAGGTTTATATTGTTCAGTGTGACATTCTGGAATTTCTTTTAGAGGACACGTTTAGAAAATGGTTGTGAAGTGGTGGAAAACTGTTTGTTAAAAAATGACAGTATCACTGGGTCTGCGTTTTTCAGTGAAGCCTTGGACGCACAATGTTAGTTCGTGACTTAGGCTTTGGCTTAGATTGCTAAGACCTAGTTGTATTTCGAAATTTGCCAAAAGCAGAATATATTAAGCTTTGCGGTTCACTTTTTTAGGGGTCTTTAACAACTAGTTTCTTTTTTACATGATCCCTTCTTTTACTGTGCGAACTTTCTACATCTGATCCTTTTCTCCGCATCCATCCATTCGCGAAGGTGTTCGAACATTTTCCATGTGGGTTCGGCTACTGTTTAAGTATTGTCGTTTCTTATATCATTGAATGCTGGTTAAGTTGATTCTCCTTTTAATCCTGAGATAACCAGGCGCGAGAGTTTCCACTTGAATGGCGGAAGATGAGCTATTCCCAGATAAGTGTGTTAATGGTGAATGGCACGACTAGCACTGCGCTATCTGTCCCTTCAGTAACTTACGCCAGCCATATTAATGATGGATGGGAGCAATGCTGCATATTGTTGACAGTATCGTTCCACTTTTCTGGTCATAACCAGCGATGCATAATCTGTTGCAGAAGATACAAACAAACTTGAAGTTTACATAACTAGGTCTCAGAAAAAAAAAAGAGCAGAACACCAAGTGTTGCTCACTCTTGTCTATTGCGCTTTCTGTGGACGGGTGACTAAGTCCATTTCGCTTGTTTAAATCGGAGTAGTTTTCTCGCCACATCAGTGATTGGCTATTTTGAGATCACAGCGCTGAGACATTGTCCAGTTACTCTCAGAAGTTTGATGACAGACTTGAGCCATCATGTGTGCTATAGCATGTGCACTGATTTCATGTTTTCAGCTCTTCATCGTCACATATGAATGGCCAAGTTCAACAGCAATCTACCTCTCAAGCTTTGGAGGAAGAAATGGAGAGACAGAAGGTTGGTTCACTTTGGAGATCCTCACTGTTTTAACCTGTTATTGATTAGTGCAGTATTACAGTATTTCCGTTTTAGGTAACTCCCACCTTAATAAAATATATCGAGGAATTCAAGTTTCCCTACATAAATGATGTCAGCAATTATGAAAAGCTGTTGAAAATAGGTCAAGGGACGTTTGGGTGCGTTAGCTTTGTCACCGGATATAGTTTTTAATTCACTTTCATTTTTATAGAGAAGTATTCAAAGCACGGTGCAAGAAGACGGGAAAAATGGTAGCACTAAAGAAAATATTAATGGAAAATGAAAAAGAAGGGGTGAGTAGAAGCTTGACACCTTATGTTTTCACTTTTATTTATTGTTTACTTTTTTGTCACGGCAAGGAACTATGTGGAACATAACCGCAAAGATGCCGAGGTATGAACAATACTCGGAACGTTTAACGTTTTGTTTTCTGCCTTCTATAATTTTCATGGCAGGTTACTAAGCGAAATACAATCACAACGTTGCTGAGATATTTGCAAAACTCTGGGCCGCAGGTGTCTATGGTGGGGAACGAACGCGCTATTATCCTTTCCGGGGAGTAACGCGTTCACCACTACACCATGCGGGTCCTTCGTTTCGCCTGTCTCTCAGTTCCTTCTAATACTCGGAACTTTAGGCGGTCGTCGAACCCGCGATTATCCTTTCTGTAGGATTACGTGCACCGGCCGAGGAACAAGGGCCTTTATGTTTTTTTAGACACATTTTTACTGTATTGGCGCTATCAGTACTTTTTAAATGCGTTGTCGATTGTTCTCGAGGACTTTTAAGCGTTCGCTCCCAATTTTTAAAGGAGGAGGCATCTTGAGACAGCTTTACACACTATCTGTTATTAGTAAAGACTTCAGTCTTGTGATTGCTGTTCTCATCGTACCTTACCATGAAAAAGGAATAGGCAGTATATTAAAGTTGAAACATCGTAATTTTAACCGCAGTTTTAGCTTAACTGGGTTCTGTGCCGATCTTCACTCTCCAAATCATTCCCGTTAATGGGTGATTGTTGATAGCACTGATTGAGTAGGAACCTGGTTGAGATGAGAGCAAAGCAAACTCCTCGGTTGGTATGGTCGATTGGACGTGAGTTCCCTGTAAGGGTGAGTAATTGTGGGTTCGAGGTCCACCTGAAGTTCCGAGCTTTTCTCATATTGCAGCATCCTTGTGATTGTGTTTAAATCTTACATTACTTGATACTTGAACGATCCGCCCTTAGTGGTTGTGTGGCTCTCAGCATAATCACCACTTTTCGGAAATTTGCTGGCTAAACCATTGTGTACCCTGGAATCCCGAGGTCAGCCTGGCCAAAGTCTGCCCTAGGTCTGCACCACCACGGGCAGTCTGAGCCCTTGTGGTTCAGAGAGAGATTTGTCACCGTGCGACTTTGATATCAGGACAGCGGTGGGTCCTGGTATTGGTCCACTCTTAGTTAGGCCTCCTAATGGAAGCGCCGGACTCCTTCTCAACTTGGGATCCTGACGGGGGACGAATCCCCCTCTGTACGTCGCAGTCCGACAGCCAGGAACACTTCCCAGCCACAATGGAGCGGTAAACCGTTGGGAGGAAATCTTACATTTAATGTGGCAGTTTCTTTTTTATTTCATAATCAGTCTGATCTAGTCTGATCTTATATCTAATCCTTATCTAGTTTTATCACCGTTTATTCAGTTCCCAATTACGGCGCTTCGTGAGGTGAAAATGCTGCAGCAACTCAAACATGAAAATATTACAGATCTTATTGAAGTGTGCAGTAGCAAAGGTAAGTCTGTTGTTCATACTTTTTGTTCTGCCGCGTTGTAAGTATTTGTTTGTTGAACAAATTTGCCATGAAAATCCTAAACAACAGTTGAAAATTTTTCAGCCACGGCTTTCAACCGTGATCGCTCAACGTTCTATTTAGTGTTTGCTTTTTGTGAACATGACCTCGCAGGTCTGCTAAGTAACAACAAAATCAAGATCTCCCTGGTCCACATCAAAACCATGATGAAGGTATGAGTATTAGGCATCTCCCATCAATTTTACTTCAAGGTCATCAAATATTACCCTGTTTTGTTGTTTTTATTTTTTCCTGGCAAAAAACTGTTGTGATTTTCCAGACCACCTAGAGATTGAACATCTAAGACTATTGTTGTTGTTACATTCACCCTAGTTTTCGTTGTGCGCCAATCTTCATTTGCTTCTATTTTATAGAGAGGCACTCCAGTTAGGTACGTATCATTACACGCGATCGATCACTGACAATATTATTTCAAAGGACGTGCATTACTATGAAAGAATACAGCAATTGCTGTGAATAACTAATAGCTTTTAGTTAGAAAGTACAGTTTCTGCGGATAGATCTGAAACGTTGCAAATTGATGGTGAATGGTGAAAAAAGGAGATTCGCACTTTGTAACAGCCTACTCTGAGAATCCTTCAAACTAATTAGTGTCCTGTGAACAGATGGTGATTATCTTGCTAGCGTGAGGATGACTATCCTGTCGCTATCATTGTGAAGCTTTCACATAATGTAAACTCGGGAACTGCTTGTAACTAATGACGTTTGTCAGCAGAACTTGATGGCTTAATTCACATCCTTCTAACGATTTTTCGTAGGCTATGTGATTGGAACATAGAAAATAATGTATGCAACACCATGGGTCCACTTTATAAAGCAAAATGGTTGCATTACTAAGCAGTTCTTGTTTGAAATCCTAATACCCACTCTGGTGGTACGTTTTGTTTCCCATCATCTTCTTTCTCATAGAAATTTCTTTTTTCTGTGGTAGGATTCATGAAGCCCTCCAACATTCGTTATTGCAGCACTTGTTCAATGGTTTATGGAAAATTCATCGCTCCAAGATCTTGCATAGGGACATGAAGGCTGCCAATGTTTTGTTATCCCGAGATGGAATTCTTAAACTTGCTGATTTCGGGTTGGCAAGACCATTCTATATGGGTACGTGATATTTCATTTTGTCCTCTAGTGATAAAAGGTAAGTGGGTCGGTTTTGTACGAGTAACTGCTTAGTCACTACCATTAATCTACTACTAAACAGTGTGACGGCACAAGTCGCTTTACGAACAGCAGGACATCTGCTTTATTTTTCTTTCTAGTTGTTTTACTTTTCTCTCCAATCTTGCTACTTTTTTGAAGGATCCTTTCCATGTTCTTCGTTTTGCTTTCAAAAATTTCCTTGTTAGGTCATCCTCGCCAACTCTACACAAATCGTGTGGTGACGCTTTGGTATCGTCCTCCAGAGTTGCTATTGGGTACGTTTTTCTGAAGTAACGCGTTTCTGCATAAATTATTATGAATCTGATAAATCCTGTTTTTTAAAGTAGAGTTATGGATCGTCAACAGAAGCATAGGGGACAATTTTTTTACCCCATAGAGTTTTTTGCCATACTTTCTGAGTATAATCGATAAATTCCCATCACAGATGGAGCAGACATCGTAGACGGAAGGTGGTTATTTAGAAGTAAGTTGTAGAAAGAGGTTCTTACCTATAAGGTCTCGTGGGAGATAGTTTTAGGCTAGCGAATTATTCGATAATTCCCTTCACAAACTTGCAGATTAGGAATGTACTGAGATATTCTGATGCAACCAAACATAGTATTTAGGTGTTTTTTTTTTTGGAGCATTATATGTTGTCAACTCCATCGTGCTAAAATGATTTCGTTCATCTTAAAACCTACTTTCGTTATATTGTATTCCAATTCCATTCTTATTCTGAAATTTCACAGAATACAGTTTTTCGTACCATTCAACGTCAATGCTGTCTGTACCTCCAGTTTACATTTTTGTGATTTTTATTAAAGTAATCTAGACAATATCTGTTATTTTGACTGCATCTAGTTCCATCCTGCTTGGTACGAATACCACCACCATTCTTGACGACTCGCCAATTTTTCGAAACGTTAAACGGTTACTAAACCGACCTAACTTCAGCGTGAATAAGCAATGTATCTCCCTGAATTGTTTAAGTTTCTCGGGATTGTGGTATAAGTTTTATTCGGATAATGTTTCGACGTCTTCGCCTTCCTCGGAACTGATGATCCGAGTCGTTGTCCACAGTCGTTCGTCGTCTTGATGTGGTGACTTCGCCGTCGTATGGAGTCGAATCTTTTTCAGTGGAGTTCTAGTTAAAAGAGACACCCTCACCAAGTAGCGCTCTTTTATACAGGACGGTTGTTGACTGATTGTCTGATTGTCGACTGCTAGTGATTTCTTTTTATGTCGGCAACCCATCCTGTAGCAGTCGGTATCAAGGACAGCACCACATCGAGATGACGAACGACTGTGGATACCGACTAAGAACATCGCATACGAGAAAGACGCAGATGTCGGAATGTTAGCCGGGTAAAACTTGTATAGCAGCCTCGTGTAAGCTGAACAACTCAGTGAGATGTATTGGTAGTCAACAGTGTCAACCTTTTTTCGAAACATTATCTTTATTTTGAGAGTACTCATAAATGTAGTTTCTGTCCGAACGAACGTTTTTGCCTTTGTTCAGTACTCTTATTCAATTCATCAAAAGGATTTCGACGAGTGGACTCGTCCTGCATTTGTCCTCTCAGGTTATATCATTCTCTAAAAGGACGTGAAGAAACAGGCTGTCAAATCCGTCGGTTGTTGCTACTTTGATAGGACTGGAATTGCCTCCATAGACCGCGTTGGAACTCCTTTGGTCACTGAGCGGTGACGTCACAACAATTTCCGTCTACATGGGTCAGTAAATCTTATCCATTCAACAGTTGTTGGTTCACACTACTGGTGCTTCTCTTGCACTTTTCTCTTCATTTCTTTCGCAGCATAATTCTAGATATCAGCCATAAATAATTCGTAAAAATATAGCTGTTGCGTACATTCAAGAAGAAACAGTTGATCTACTCGAGACTGACTGTAGACGAAGATCCAAAAGTCAAGACACGATGCAGACCGTTCATAGCTGACCTCACCATTATCACTTGCTTGAGTCCTTGTTCAGTTCTGTTTGGAAATAAGTGAAAACGAAGTTCAGTTCGCAACGTAGAGCTTGGTGAGGCGGAGTAAAGGCGAATAAGTGAAGTGTTAGAGAAAGGGAAAAGAGTTAATAATCTTACAAGAAAGATATTGCCTTATAATCATCTATTTAAGCTATTTGCTTATGAAATTACTGACTGTTCTTTCCTTTGCACTCACAGTAAACTATTTATGGTATGGAGTAGGTAGCTATAAAAATACGATTTAGATACTCTTATTTGTTCAAGAGAAAGTATTCTGTATCTTCTTAGGCTAATTAATATGATACTTTCTTGCAGAAGTCGTAGCCACATTCGGTTTTGAGAGCATTTCCATCGCTTAGGTGTGACATAGCGGCTCATGTAACGTTTTCGTTCTTACTTATTTTCTTAGCATTTATCAATCGAACTTTTTATTAGCTCGTTTGTTACGCAGAGGTTTATGTGCCCAAGTTTTTAATCTGATTTGCCAAAACGACAAAAGCACCTGCGTAGCAGCACCAAACTAGTGTTACTATCTTGTACTGAATTAACTATGTATGCAAGTATCGTCAATTTATATATTCCAAATTCTCATCTTTGCTTTTGCCTACTTTCGACCACTTATAAATGAAGGCTATAGTGGTGGATGAAAGCTGTTTCTGTGGAAGCCAAATTATTTTCTATCGTTTTTACAAAAAAAGACGTCTTGATGGTCGACAGTTTTGTATCACGTGTTTGGATCTTGCATGAATTTACAAAATCGAACCGATTTCGCTATGCATTTGCGGCAGAATTCTGATCTTATCATGATAACCTTCGATCGACTGCGACTTCTTTGTCTCGTTGGTTGCGGAAAGAAAGTGCTTTGTTATTCATGCTTTGCTCCAACTGGGGCGTCTTCGTTTGTTTTTCACCAATATTTAGTACACTTTTGTCTCTTCTCGGGGTTGTTGTACAAGATTTCATTCTACTCACAGGCATATGTCATATCATTGGATTCTCGGACTATCAGTTCGCTGGTAAAACGTATTTCAGGAATACCTTTCAATTTTGAAAATTCAGGCGATCGTCAGTACACGACGTCAATTGACATGTGGGGAGCAGGTTGCATAATGGCCGAATTATGGACTCGTTCACCCATCATGCAAGGCGATACTGAACAGAAACAGCTCACAATGATTTGCAATCTATGTGGCTCAATCGATAAGGACTCATGGGAGAAAGTGTGTAGATGATTCTGTTAAATTGTTTCCTTTCGTGTAAAATTCGCTGTTTACAAAGTGATTTGGTTTAGGTAAGTGAACTTCCATTGTTTGAAAGAATGGAACTCCCCAGCGGACAGCCCAGAATACTTCCACAGCGCATGAAAGCCTACATAAAGGTGTATTTCGGTTACGTTGTATTTTCTTTCTTTTTATATTGAAGACAATGTGCGTTCCTCGAATTTTATTTTATTGTTGGAATTCTCCTTATGAAAATCTGTGAAAGTATATTACATTAGAGTAATAGAGATTAGCCGCTCTTCGATCGATATTTTTTCACGTTCAAATTTGTTTGTACTTTGTTGGAGTGCGTTGCAAAGCGCTGTAGCATGCGCGGGTGCACCGGCAAAGCCACTGTGGGTTTCTGGTTACGCACCAACACGACGACCGTCGAGATCGGCCCCACGTATACTATACCGCTGGCGATAAGCTGGTTCACTTTTGGTTAATTCTTTATGAATTTTTATGATAACACTCTTCATCGCATCACAAAGTTCACTGGTAGGCAAGTGGTGAACTTTGGTTGAACTATCATACTTCGCCCATGACTCAGCCGGCATATATCGCCTACAATCTGTTATTTTCACCAGGCGTTGAAGCGTAACTTATTCTACAAAAATCTGACGACTGAGACAGTGTTTAACGTTTTGTTTTCTGCCTTCTACAATTTTCATGGCAGGTTACTAAGCGAAATACAACCACAACGTTGCTGAGATATTTGCAAAACTTTGGACCGCAGGTGTCAACGGTGGGGAACGAACGCGCTATTATCCTTTCCGGGGAGTAACGCGTTCACCACCACACTATACGGGTCCTTCGTTTCGCCTGTCTCTCAACCACTTCTATCGATCTTTTTTTTTTGATTGCTGGTTGACAGGTGATTGCTGTGGCAAAAAAAAGATCGATAGAAATAGCTGAGAGGCAGGCGAAACGAAGGACAGGATCCGCATGGTGTGGTGGTGAACGCGTTACTCCCCGGAAAGGACAATAGCGCGTTCGTTCCCCACCATAGGCACCTGCGGTCCAGAGTTTTGCAAATATCTCAGCAACGTTGTGACTAAGACAGTCTCAAAGATATCCGAATTCTGTTCTTCTAGGTAAGAGAATTGAGGCTTTCTAGAATTGGCATGGTGTCTTTGACAGTGACTATGAATATGTTGCTGATTAACATAGTTTTCCGATAAATCAAACATGAAAATTCGGCATTTGTTAATCCAAGGGATGTGCTTTTGATTCCACTGAGCATTGTAGAGGTGACTAAATGACTATCAAGTCAGTATCTGGCTGATACAAAGGCAAGGCAAGGTCCTCAGTGGGTGCAGTGGGTGACGCGTGATCCCTCGGAAGTGGTAATCATAGATTCGATCTGGCCTGGTGTCCAAGTTTTGCATTTATGTCGTCCTCATAGTGGTTGTATCAGGTCAGTGTATTCTTCAGCAGGCATAAGTTTATTAACTTTTTTTTACATAACCTGTCATTGTATCTAATGTGCATATCTCAGCACTTCTAGCATTCTATTCACTTCCCTCGCATTCATTGTCCAGAGAGGTCTTTAGACTTTTCGCATGTTGCTTCGGTTGCTGCTCCAGGATTTCTTCTTTACAAATGTCGTAGAATGTTGCTCAAGTTCATTCTCCTTGCACCGAGGAAAAGGTCGAGCTAAGGCGTTCTCACTTGGAATGAAGTAGAGTATTGAGGAAGTGATCGAAACAGCACTTTGCTTCCTAATGCTGCATGTGCGATGTAAACGAATTAGATGGGAAGACCAGGCATGCTTATTAAACTAGTAAGAATTAAGCCACATTTGATGGAAAGCAGAGGAATGTGCTTGGCTCAAGTGAAAAGATCAGCGTGAGGTGTGGCTCGATGTCATGCCTAATCATAATGCGCTTTCCTTGCGGTTCATTGGCTCAATTTTGGATTTTGAAAGTTATCCCACATACTTCAATAGTTTTTACGTGCTAATGTTCTAGATTTCTTTGTGAGGATAACGAATTTGTTCCAAATCTTGCCTGTCATTTCTTTATGCCCTCTGCTTGCGTAGTAGAGTGTTTTATTTGAATTTCAATTTTCCAATTAGGTGATTCTTCATACGGACACATGGTCGTCCACCCGTTCGACGAACGTATTCATCCTCACGCGTTTTACAAGAAATCAAGTACGCTGTACCTAAACTCTTGCAACTCTTGCAGTGGCTCTCTTTAGCGTTAGGGCATATTATGCAGTCTTGCATTCTGTGTAGAGAGTAATACAAGGGGTTATGAACTGGTTTGCATCTTAGAGTGGTCTGGTGGTATTTCAGTCACTGCTACCGAATTCTCTAGACGGCCCTTTTTAAGCATCGCTTACAACTGTGCTTGCGTCGCTGGAGATATAGGGCACGTTGAACGAAACCTTGTTCTTGTTAAATTTGTTGTTTGGAACATCACTTTTAATCTAAACCCTTTTCGGAGGACTACCTTTGATCGCCTTTGAAAATGGCTATTTTTCGCTCCAAGTTCAAGGTTCTTCAGGGAAACCTATCGCACATCAAATTTTTTCTCTGTTATGAGGTTAGAAGTAAAGTTTTTCTCGCGTTTATGATTACAGATTAAGATTATCATCAGAAAATATGCGAAAATTGTTGTCAACTTCTCAGATGGGGTCTTTTTGTCCGAGCAACGCTCAAGGAAAGAATTGATAGTAATGTCCCCACTTTTCGTCGTTCATACCTATTTAGTGCTTCAAGTCTTCTCTTTTTACGGAGTCGATCTTGAAGCTCGTTCAGGGTGCATGCGATCCTACAGAAGGTTTCCTTTGAAACGAGTTGTGGTGATGAGAAACTTGGACCCAATTCTAATGGCGATCTCGCGCTGTCGAGTTATGCCTCCTAACCTGGCGACCATTTACTTCTTTAGTGCGTTGTCAACTCTAAATTGACTCTTGAGAGTTTCGTAAACGACGCCTCTTTGTTTCGTTGAAGCTATGTTCTCCTATATATAGCTATACGAATTATTTAGAAAATTTTCAAATTTTCTGTTTACAGAATTTCAAATCATTATTGACCCATCCTTTGTTCTCCTCCAAGGTTGTTCCTCCAACTAGTAGAGTAGTTTTCCTTCGACGCGCAATTCTTTAGTTGAGCCAACATCTTGTTCTGCTATTATTGTAAACTAGCGCGGAGTACTCACATTACGATTTCCACTGCTTGTTGGCTGTTCTCTGGTAGACCGCATAGTTCGTGTAGTCGTTTTCATTTCATGCACTTCAGGGCGACTCGGTGTTTTAAGCAGCAGAGAAGAAAAAAATATGTCGCGTGCCTAGTTAAAACTATGTTCTATTTCACCGACAGGGTTTTCTTTATTGGTTGGAAATATTCTGCTGCTACATCACATAGAAATTCCTAGGATCGACTTTCTGTTGACCATTCAATAAGTCAATGTTTTCTTCTTGAGCACACCCCAGTTTGCCATCAACAATCAGCAATTACGACCAAAATCATTACTTGTTTTCATCTTTAATTTTTGATTATCGATGCCAAGTTACAAAGAGAGTGGGTATTGACATCATTCTAAAAAATGAATTGAAGGACGATCTTGCTGTTTGTCTCATTGACGAGCTACTAGCACTGGATCCTAGCAAGCGACTGGAAGCGGAAAAAGCTTTGGATCATATGTTCTTTTATACGCCACCTTATTCGAAAGACGATTTCAAAGATTTAATGGACACGGTCAAGGTAGTGATTACCATATTCTCACAACTATAGCACTGTTGCGTAATTTTTGAAAGGTGCTGTCCAAAATGTGCATGCTTTGTTCCATTCGTCAGTTGTCTTGTTTGAATGGATGATTCTTCTGAGGAATTCCTTGCAAATATGAAAATTCCTATCGGAATTTCAGACCTCTCAATTCGAGTACACTGCCGGTGGCGGAGCTCACGCAAACCGCGGCAGAGCCATTGGTGCTGGCCAGCGTATGCCGCAGCGTCCACAGGTTTCGCAGACTGGCCAATTCCACGATATGATTTTCTGATACCACAGTGGCCATTGGCCAATTCCACGATATGATTTTCTGATACCACAGTGGCCGTTTCGTCAGGTAGCACTGATTGTGATGGCTCTCCTTGCAAAAGTTCGCAAGTTCCAATCAATGTTTTCAATTCATCAAGTATGACTGTATGAGTCACCAGTTAGGCTCTGAAATGTGTAAATTTAATTCGGGTTCATACATACAGTTGTTTTTACAGCTTCTTGCAGTGTTTGTAGTAGAGCAAGCCGCATTTCAAAAGATCTTGTTATTGTACATATATTGTACCATGTTCTTGTCTCTTTGTTACGTTTTGTCATTGTGGTCATCTCACCACAAATTCTTTCCTTTTATAGTCAGATAAAATAATATTATAAGCATGTTGGAGATGTTCTCTGATGAAGGTGAAGAACTTATGCGATATGTAAGCTCTTTGATCAAGTCACGTTATTCAGAACCGGTCCATGAATTTGTCTTTAATTCCCTTTAAAAGGGTGCGTATAGCGTTATGCTTAGAAATACCCTCTAATACTTAATGAGTTCGATCCAGCCGCACAGGCTGATCAAGTCTTCCATCTTCCCGAAGTCAGCGAATTGGTACCGGACCTGCCTGGGAGGATAGCAGCACTGATTCGATATTTTGGTAAGCCAGCGAGAGTAACTGTATAGGCTACGCCAGATGAGCAATCAATCACCTCTGACGACGCTTAATGAGATCCAGTGCATGGCTCATCCTTCAGCGCCAACAGCTTTTATCATTTTATCCCTTCAAAGTAACACTTACTTCTGGTGATTGGTATAAAATAGCGGGAGAAACGTTGGTAACCAACAACAAATTTAGGGTAGGAATTTGTAAGTCGATTTGGAAATGGGAGATGAGGCAAAGGATTACGGAAAACGTTCACTTCTCCGATTTTAGATGGTGCAAATACAAACAACAGATCTCATAAATTTAAGAACAAAGAAAAAGAAAGGGATATAATGCGATACAATTTCCTTCTTCTAGGTATTCACGTCAAGAGGAAACGAAACATGTGGCGATATAATAGTGAAAGAAAAAATACTTAAAGTAAATGTACCGGAAAATACATAGAGGTAAAGCAGTAAGAAAAAAGAGAAAACCGAAAAGAAAAAGAGAAAATCGAAAAGGTAAATAGAGATAGACTGTTCCCGCTTCAGTGAACTGGAAATGAACATACAGTATGGACGAATCCTATACGAACTGCAACAACCTAGTTATTTTTTGCTACTAAACAATAGCCCGCTAGAATTATTTGTGATTGTTGAACCAAAACATAGGGCTGGTTTTGGAGCATTTGCAGTGGTAGATGTCAGTGATGAAAACAAGGGTCCTGTCGTTGATGAAGATAATGATGGAAACAAGGATGTCCCTCCAGAAGACGTTGTTGCGAAAGAGAACGGCTTTGTGGTTGTTGCACCTGATCCGAAAAGCGAACTACTTGTTGTAGAACCGAATAGACCTAAAGGGAGTAATATTTGGCAGCATTTGCAGCAGAAACATTAAAAGAAACCTCTGTTAATGGAATATTAGATGTAAAAAGCATAAAATAACCAATATGGAAAACAACAAGAAGTGTTTTGCAGTTTAGCTGAATAAGACATCACATATCAACTTCTACTCCTATTTTTGCTACTGCACAAAATTTTGACGACCGCGTAGGACATCGCTTAACTCTGTCCCGCGAGCAGGTAAATTGAAGTCAATGTATACGTTCCCTTGTATCGCCTGCTGCCCCAACACCCTCACGCCCTTTGTGCTCCTTGCTCTACGATTTAGTGTTGTCATGTGTTTCAATCAGTAACTGCTTTGATTTCCATATCTTTTGAGTTCTTCGACGTATCTTTGCACGTTTTAAAAAGACCTCTAACTCATATATGTGATGAAAGAAAGTATCCTTCACCGTTCAACAAAGACCACTGATGTCAGGCCTTGATATTCGGTCTTGCGACGCATGTTGATCATAATTCGGCATGTTTTCATGTTTTCTACACCTACTCCTATCTGAGAATGATGGGGTTGAGCATGTCTACTGTTCGCAAAGATACACTGCATGTAAACACACTGATGAGCATGCTCTTTGTTTCCAAACATCAAAACATTTTACTTCTTTGCTTCCGAAGTCTCTGTGGTATGACAAAGAAACTGGCATTAAAGATTTTTTTTACAAAACATTGAATAGAGAATAGCTCTCTACTTGTTACACCTGGAGTAATATTTGTTGTAAATAGTGTATCTACTGAAAACAAGATGTGAAGAAAAAAGAGAAACTTTGTGCCCCACTATAAACAGCCCGAATGTGCAATGTGCATACGGCCCACTCTGCATTCCACCACTCAGTTATGCAGTGCGGTCCCACAAGGTCGCGGAAAAGATCGATGAAGACGTGTCATCCACATAGGTCCTTGCCACTTCTTTTACATATTTCGAAAGTAACATGCTTACCAGTTCCAGCTGCAGGAGCAGCGCCAGCTGCAGGCTTCAGCTGCTTGCCCAATTCCGCAATAGCCGATTGAGAAGGCACAAAGTCGTTACCGCGAAGGGTGTTAAACGACTGCAAGCGAGACGACGTGTCCACTCGACGGTTCAGTGCATCTCGCAACATATACATAGATCCATCAGCAGTCAACACAGATCTGACATCCTGAATCTTTTCAGTTGTCCAGAGAAAATACTGCTATAATCAATTACAACAGATTCACACGCCCTTGAATGACAATGGAGTGCCATACATGGTTAGCGTAAAAATTGAAAAAAAAAAGAAATCTTAAAGATTAGTTATCATGTCTTTTCAGACTTGACAATTAATCTTAAAGGAGATAAAGTAAAAATCTTCCTTCAATAGAGATAAAACTGGAAGCCCATTAACAGACAACTGTAAGATAAATAAAAACTGTCTCAAATGAAAATTTCACTACAATTAACTATTAGAAAAGGCAACACATTCGGTACCTGCACTTTACTAGATGCATCAAATAGTTTGGTGGCCACTCTACTAAAAGCAATGTCGAATCGCGTCAGAAGTTCCTTTAAGCTGCTCACTGTCATCGTCCCCTAAAAATCAATAACAAAATTGAGACAAACATTGAGACATTTTAAAAAACATTTCAGTAAAAAAAAAGAGATAATTTTAATAGCATGAGGGTAGTGGTAGTGATGCCGTTCACTACGTCGACTACTCGATCTACTTAAGCGGTGATTAAAATTCGACTCAGGCTCACCAAGCCTCATATCCCTCTAGAGTCGGAAGAATGGTACTAGACTTGTCTAGGATCAGTCTACACCCTGGGATCCACGTGGGGACGCTGTGCTGCGGATATCCCAAGGATCCATAGATGACCAACTCGACAAGCAGCATCAAACAACATCCATAAAGAAGAAGAAATATCCTCAGACAGCAGCCGACCTACGCTCAAAAAATTCGACCTTTATGGATGGTAAATGTGATGTAACGAAAAGAATACAAGAAATGCTGTAATCCCATACTGCGATGCATTTGCTGTCGCGTCATATAAATAATAACAATAATTAATGATTAGTAATAATAAATAACAATGGTTTAATATGCTCAGGTAGCTTTATGCTACGATTAAAAAGAAGGCAAGAAGAGATTTGAGTCATAAGGAACAAAATGAGCACGAAACATACTGTTCGCTCAACAGGTGAACCATACCAGCTCGCTCATTAACATATAAACACAACATATTCCATGTGTCTATGATTTTCTTGAAAAACTGTGTTAGTAAATGTTGAATGACACCATTTTTGTTGAAATTAATCAAAGGTATCCTCCCAATGGTTTACCTCCTCATAGTAGCTAGGAAGTCTTCCTGGGTGTAGGGCTGCGATGTACTGCGAGGAGATTTATCCTCCTAGCAGGCTCTCTCACGATGGAAAGAGGTCTGGTGTTTCTATCAGGAAACCTGGCTAAGATTAAACCAATGCCAGAGTCAACCACCGTCCTGGTATCAAACTAGTCGCACAGTGGCGTATCTCAATCTTAACCACAATGGCGGCGACTGCTTGTAATGGTGACGAGTTGGAGGCGGACTTTGGCCCAGATGATCTAGGGGTTTCAGGGAACCGTAGTAGCCAAGCAAAGTTCCGAAGTAATGGATATGGTGCTAGAGATCGCACATCCAGTGAAGACGGGTCATCCAAGTATTCAAGTAAGTAAGTAATCATAGGTATACCCACTGCATTGCTTTACTTTGTACGAACAAGTATTCGCAGCTTTAGCGATTTTATAAGTGGAACATTAATGTGATACAGAATCTTCACACATCAAAACCGTATGCAACAAATTAAGCTAAATAGCCATTTTGAACGCCAATATGAAATTCCGTTCCCTAAAAAAGCTCAGCAGCCTCCTAGAACCAGAAACCTACTAGTCCCTGTAAAAGAACGATTTTTTAACATTTTCCCAACAAATCTAGCACAAAAAAATTTATCACCATTCATCTAAAGACTTCCAAGGTTGGCCGTATTGATCGGAAATCTTCTTTAGTGTGCACGCATGAGATCACGTAGTAGAGAAAACAAGGACTTTACCAGTGCCTAGTCAAGTTAATCAGCTAATTAGGGAGTGTGTAGCGCAGTGGTCGGAGACACCCTGCAATAGACATGGGATCGATCGCCGCGTCCCAGGCCCACCAAGCCCCCCATCCCTCCGGGGTCGGTAAATTGGTACCAGACTTGTCTGCGGATACAGCAGCCCTAGCTTGATACATCGGTAGGCCATCGCGAGTCACTGTAAAGGCCAGATATGCATTCAGCCACTTCTTACGTTGCTTAGTGAAGTCGAATTCATGGCGCATCTTTCGGATAGATCAACCCGGAGAGCCTTACCCTTTGTCCTTTCACGCAGATTACTCGATGATAAGTAAGATTAAAAGTAATAATAGACATCTTGAAATAGCTACCTTTCCATTCAAAAGTGCGTTCAATCTCGCTTCAATATCTTCAATGGTATCCTGGTAGAAAATTACAGCGTCGTCGTATTCACGAATAATATCGACAATGTATCTAAAAACGAATTCATTTCTGCAAAAACGATGAATGATGAAAACCCCACTAATAAAATCATAGACCGTTAGAAAACTTGGAACGTACTGAACGATCTGTGTATGGGAGCTAAGGTGGACATTTTTATTAACCGATTCCTGAACACGTTGTGCTATGTCACCCAACTGTACGTCCTTGGCAATACGTGCATTTAGTTGGACACATTTCATATCACATTCCACTGTTTTGCTATACACTTCACATAATTTGTGTTCAACCTTCAAACGATCGATTATTACGAATTGGAGGGAATGAATATGAAATATTCTACTACCAAAAGCTACCCACCTCCTTGAGACATTCTTTTACTTTAATTGTGCCATCACCTGAAGCTGCAGTGAATTCTTCGGTCAGTTTCTTGTTCTCTTTTAGTTTTTCTCTAAAAAGACAGTCTAATTGTCGAAAATTGCTTCCCAAACAAAGTAAGGGTCTGGAGTAGGAAACGCTATGAATGGACCTGAGTTGTAGGACAACTTCTCTAATTGGCTTTGGTACGATGCCTTCACGCCAATTTTCTTTCTCAACTGCTGTTCCAGTCGCTGTAGCACCAACTCCTGATATTGCACTAAGACCTGCGACAACAAATTTTAACAATTTTAAGATAAATTGGATTCTTTCTTTCTCACTAGACGAAAGAACAACTTTTCTCATTACAACACGCTTGTCCAAAAAATGAAGGGTTGGATAGATGACAAAAAGTTAACAAGACTATGCTGACTTTTACTGTAATTCGAACAAAGATCACTTTGATACTTTTTATATCAACATTCACAAATTTTATAACTTTTCAAAATAAATCCTGCATTTCTATAAAAAAAAATCGTGCCCAAATCCTTACATAAACTCTGAACTTGGAATACCGTTACTAGTCAGTTTGGTTTCATTTCAGTGAATAGGATTTTGTCATGGAGTGAGCTCACCAGTGTGCTGCGTTGTTCCTCCAAGACCGAAAGACGGAGCCGTCGTTGTCGTGGTCCCACCTCAATTTCTCATTTAGACGATGATCGTATAGTTTTTTCAAAGATAAAACACCGAAGCACTCACTACTTATAGACGAGGTAGCACTAAACAAAGATGGCATTGTTTTTCCACCAAACAGTGGAGTCGTCGTTGTAGCACTACCAAGAATACCAGGTGTGCTAGAAGCTGTGGTTTTAGTGCCAAACAGAAGTCCACCTGATGGTGAGGTAGTGGTGACTGTGAAAGAAGTTGTACCGAATAGACCACCCGTAGAGGTGGTTTTAGGTGTCACTGAAGAACCCAAAATGCCAACAGAGGTAGTTGTAGTGGACGCTCCAAGAAAACCTGAGGCAGTCGCTGACTTTGTTGCGGTTGTTCCAAATAATGGTGTCACTGTGTACGTAATACTGGAGGTAGTTCCGAGTGAGGAAGCGGTAGTAGGCGCTGAGGTTATCCCACTACTACCGGTCGGTACCAGTGTTGGAGCGGATGCAGTAATCGTCGCAGAACCAAACAGTGGCACAGCTGCAGTGGTGGATCCACCAGTAGTGCTAAGCAATGACGGTGTAGAACTTGAAGCAGTTGTAGTAATGGAACCAAAAAGGGACGGAGTTGTCGTGGACGTCACTGCAGATAACGTGCCGAATGGAGAAGGTACAGGGGCACCAATAGAAGGGGCACTTGCTCCAAAGAGCGATGGTGTAGTAGTTGACGGCGTAGCCGCTGGAACTCCAAAAAGTGTCGACGTAGGAGTGGTACTGGTTGTCACGGCTACACCAAAAAGTGAGGGAGTAGTACCAGTGACAGTTGTAACCGATGTGCTAAAGAGAGGTTTCATACTACTGGTTGTTGCAGCCAATCCAAAAGAAGGTGCAGCTGTTGTTGTCATTGTTGAGTCAGAAACACATGAGGATACTGTAGAAGACGCAGTTGAAGCAATACTAAATAGGGGTGGAGTTGCTTGTGCTTGAAGAAGGGATGCACCAGAAGTTGCTGCAGTTGTCGTTGCGGTGCCAAAAATGGGAGGTGTTGCAGAGGTCCCAAATAGCGAACCAGATGCAGTGGTCTTGGTAGAAACAGCTGATCCAAACATCGGGGTTGAAGAAACGTTTGAGACACCAAACAGTGACGTTGTTGCTGCCGTTGTTGTTGATGGAACTGAACCACCTCCAAATAAACCCGTAGATACCGTGGTTGCTCCGCCTGACAATGAAGCAGTCGTTGTAGATGGAGTTCCAAACAATCCGCTTGATGGGAGACTATTAATAGAGGAACTGAAAACTGCGGTGCTAGTTGTAGTTGTAGCATTAAGTGAAGGCTTCGATATACCGAAAAGTCCTGATGAAGTTGTCGCTGGAGCACCAAACAGACCAGTTGAAGGTGCTGATGCGGACCCAAATATCGATGAGCTGCTGGCACCGCATATATTTGTCGACGCCCCCGTAGCATCGGTACTAGACGCTGATGAGTTGAAAAGAAATGTAGAGCTGGTGTTTGCAGGCGTCGCGAATAAGCAAGCATTCGAAGTTGATGTGCTTGGCGTCGAACTAAATAATGAGCTCGTAGGTTTCGCTTGGAATAAAGAAAGGCTGCCAGTTGAAGTGGTCGAAGAACCGAATAAGGAGGGAGCTGAGGCGGTAATCGTTGATGAACCAAATAACAGGCCACCAGATGACGTAGTTCCACCGCCGAACAAAGAAGATGTCGATGTCAAGCCACCAAAAATTCCTGATGGTGCAGTTGTCGTTCCAGACGTGGATGAACCAAATAATGATGTCGCTGTACTGGAACCTAAAAAACATATTAGTTGGAGAAAAGCGATGAAACCAAATTGGATGTGAATTGAGAAACCAGCATCTGCTGCATTTAAAAATAATCGAATATTTTCTCAGCATTTGCAATTCCACGCCTCTCAGATTTCTGTAACCGACGACAAGTTTTCTGCTTAAGACTTACTGCCTGACGTGGTAAAAATTCCTTATTTCTCGCGAGGATATATCGATTGTAAGAAAGTTGAACGCCTTAAAGGACCACCAAAAAAAAATCAACGAAACCAGAAAAAGGATCCTAACAGATAACATAGGACTGATTCATGAAATTCATTCAGCACCTAAGATAATGACCTAGTACGGTTACTCAGACTTTAGGGAAAAAAAAACTTGCCAAAGCGCCAAACGATAAACAGCCCGTTATGCAAATTCATGACATGACTCGAACTTAAAAGTTGGCAAATAGCTAACAGGTGGATTGATATACTGGTATTGTATTAAATAACGAACCTCGACAACACCAAGGAGATTCTCGAAAAGGCAAGAAATTCTGACCTAACTATAACATAATAGCGCATAACATAGTAGCTAGTAATAATATTTCGAAACCGACTTTCTCTAAACCTCGGTGTGACTAATCAATATGTATTCTTTCTTGATAAGCTTGCACGAGGTTGATAAATATATTTATTTTCGGCTAACGTTTCGACGTATTCGTCTTCCTCAGAGCCTATGTATGACGGAAAACGGAAACGGAAGTCCTCTACACGAGTCCTCTCAGTTCAGCAGCGAATGTGCCCAAAGCGTATAACAACAAAAGCAGCAGCACAGCACAAAGCTGATAATAACACCGACTTCCGCACGATGTGCGCAACGATGTATGCCCGGAAGAAATACAAGCTGTTACCACCGGACATTACCATTATATATCCACCATCAGCATCGTGTATAAAAGGGCATCACTGAGTGAGGATGCCTCATTCGATTCGAGAAGATGGCTCACTGAGGAAGACTTGGCTCGACACGAAGGCGAAGCTGCAACGTCGAGACGAACAACAAACATGGACCATCGACTCGGACCATCGGCTCTGAGGAAGACGAAGACGTCGAAACGTTAGCCGAAAATAAATATATTTATCAACCTCGTGCAAGCTTATCAAGAAAGAATACATATAGTAACTAGTATCTCCCAGGGTATTTAATAAATGTCAAATGTAAGCATTTTGACGAAGGACCTACAACAGTATGATTACGAGACAAAAAATGTCGATCGGACCTCCCCAAACGGTGCTCCATTATAGGCTTGCTGAACGAAGATAGAAGCTTCCCATCCTTCGTTATGAAATGTGATCAATCATTAAATGCTTAAAAATACTTATGATGCTAAAAAAGAGCAAGTCTAAAGGAATCGGTAGCGATAGTTGAAATACCACCGGCTACTCCACGTCGTCAGTTAGTTCGTAACCGCCTGTATGACCGTCTATGTGAAACAACAAATTGCCCAATTTGCTCTTACGGCGGGGACGGTGATTGCATGAGTTCAGGTACGACATACTTGATCTCTTGTAATAATTGCGACGATGAATATATTGGCGAAACGGGAAGATCTTTGTGTATCTGTATAAAAGGACATCCAGATGGCATACGAAAGCTAAGACAAAGTATCTCAAAAAGCACGCATAGGATACAAAGGTATAGCGGAGACGATTTTGAAGTAGAAGTCAATATCCTTACACAGGAGACTAAAACAGCGCGAAAACTTCTTGAGGCTTTTTGGATAAATGCCAAAAACCCTACAATGAATAGAAGGGATGAATGCCCAGAGGTCATACGCGACCTGACTCCGTATGTTCGTGTTCGCATCAATTTCTGATGTGGAATGGTGCAGTCATCAACCATGTGCGATTATGACCAGTGTTCTAATTTTCCACATTGGAAGTCACGTAAAAGCGTGAGTTTTTCGAGAAGCTGTTGACCATGTAATTACTATAGAGTTTTTCTTCTTTTTGTAAATGTTTTTGTAAGTGCTATTGAAGCATTTGGCCTAGTAGATTGCATATCAGTATACCCTTCCAGGCTCTGAAGAAGGCGATACTGTCGAAACGTCAGCTAGTGTTGTATTGTATTGTGTTTTTCTACGGAAGTAAATGTGTGCTGTTTAACAACCATGCGATTGTTGAACAAAAAAACGACGCATTCATATTCCAACATCGAGGTTAATAGAAAGTCGATCGTTGGAATTAATCATTAACGTCCAAATACCTCGCTTCTATACCAAAACCTGACAATTCCGCAAAAGAAAATGGTCATGGCTCCATAGTTAGGTTTGACGATCTATTAACGACCATTCATTCAGATAAATCGAAATAAAGAGATGCGAAGATTTAGGGGAAGAATCAAGAATATGAGAAGTAGCGTATACTGGGTACCAACCTCTCATCAAGCCATCGTCCAATTAACCTACTACGGAATTCTTATAGCTCATACTTGATAAGTCAGTACGTGTCCTGAGAGCATTATAAGGTCGCTGACTCTGCTCACGACTATTCAGCATTAATAGTATACTCCAAAATATGCAAATTATGCATCGTACCAAACTGAATTTCTAGTTCCAACTTTCCATGTGTTTTTCTTTCTCTTCCTCAACCTTTAGAATACATACTTTGGAAGACAAGGGTCGACAATATGGTAAAGAAAATCGACAACAAATAGATTTACAAGGAAAAAATTTGACCATTAAATTACGGTCATTCTCATAAGAGAATACATAAACAATGGCGTGGAAGGTCTGTACGTAGAGTATTTTGGGGCTATTGCACAAAGCAGATAAAGGAACAAAATGTTCGGCGCTGATCAATCCTCTAATGATGCGCCATGAATTCTAGGGATCGCAGAGGTGACTGGGTGTATATCTGTCATAGACAATGACTTGCAGTGGACAATTCATGCATCAAGTCAGCGCTGATATTTTCATAAAGGAGCCTGGTGTCAATCTGCAGGACAAAGAGTGAATGGCGGGTCTAGTTTGCTCAGTGGGTTCGATTGAAGGAGGGACCATGTATGTACTGCTAAGTACTCCTAACCACTGCATTATGCGCTCTTCACTTTGCGTGAAAGGAATAAAGACGATTATGACATCTCTAGAATTAATGAAGTGCGGAAAGGAAGAAGCATCCAAGTGTCAAAGAAACATAAAAGCTCTTTCCTTGGAATTCAATCTTACCATAAATTCAAATATCAGTTTGTAAAAAGAACTAACTTGTACCAAAAAGCGATGATGTCCCAGTGGTCGATTTCGTCCCAAACGAGAAACTCATCTTAAACCGTGTCACATAATTTACAAGTTCGAAATGTGTATAAAGAAAAAAAAAAACAACAAGTATGAGGAAATGCAGCAACAACAACCGTACACAATCACATTTGTCCAATGTTTATAACATTTATAGCGAAAATATTTCAAGCACAATGGGAACAACTGAAGTGATTATAAACAACACATCGAAACAAACAATAGCCACCGATAAAACAACGTTGGCAACGAGACATGGAATAAGCAGATTTTAACACAAAAGATCGATTTTCTATAAACAGCGTAAATAATCGCTATATCGATTTATATGTTCTTATGGATTGATCTTGTTGAGCTGGTGTGATGTCCGTATAATTTGTTGTTGTTGTTGTTGTTGTTGTTGTCGATGGTGGTGGTGGTAAGACTAACAGTAGCAACAGCACGACTCTGAGAAACGCAAAACTGCCGAAACTTCAATTACGAACCAACAGCAACAACAACAACAACAACGACAACCTGTACTAACCTCGCACCAGCCCAACAAGGTCAGTTCATAAGAACTTATAAATCAATATGTCGATAATGAGATTTTACTCACAAATCTCAACAAAAGAAATACATCCCGAGCGATAGCGTTAAAAATAGCCTTTGCTCTAAATTTGATAGAAAAAGAAAGTCTCAAAAGCGAACGCTACAACGGTGCTCCATTTTTCTTGTGATCCTCTGTAAATTCGGCCTTCAACTTTTCATTGATTCCTTCAATATTTCGAGCGATTTCAACGGCCAAATAGATGATCTCGAAAAGAAATGGTTCAAATACATGAAAAACATTTATAACTATCTTTTACTAACTGAAACTATCAAAGTACCTTCGGTACGACTATCGTATTCTCCTCACTATAACCTTTACAGGCTTCTATCCGCATAAGTGTTCCAAGCGAATAGTCTTCTACAATCTGAACGCACAACTCTACTTAACCTCCACTACACAGCAATCAATAAGAAAAATTCCATCCTTTAATTACAAAACCCATTATTTACTACGAAATCTCTGATGGTAAATGAGTGTCAAATTTAAGACAGATTTAGTTCTATTTGTAACAAGTACTACGCTAGACGGGACAGACTTTGCCCTATTGATTAGTATCCCAGGGAACCATAACGGCTAAACCAGCAAAACTTCGAGAAAATGGAGAATGCTGGAGGCCGTACAAACAGTGAAGATAGGCCAACCTAGACCAAGACCACATATGAAGACCTGCCTAGTGAAGACACCAAATACTACAAAGGGCAAAGTTGGATCGAGAAATTTGTCGATAGAAGCCGATTACGGCCCTTCCTCTTAACAAATCGTACTTCAGCGAAATGACGAAATTCATAACGTACACTCATTTCCTCATGTTCATTTCTTCTTCACATTCATTTCCACTTTTCTTTTCACTTTATAACCACATATTTAGAAAAAATGACCACAAAACCACCTCTCGGAAAATTTCGCAAAAGTCATGCCACTTTTCCTTCATGCCTCCATGTTTCAGATCCACTTCTGTTACCTAAAATCAGATGTCGAAAATACTTCAAGATGCCTAACGAAAAAATTACTTCTATGAATTCATAGAAAACACCTTGTGAACATCGAGGTCGGGAAATGTGCGCTTGAACGTTGTGTAGATAATATCCTGCTGTTTATTCAGTTTAAGCAATTTTGTATCGCAACACATGAGCAAATTCATATGGATATTTGCTCTCTCGGCAGCCTGACACTTTACCAATCAATAGATAAATAAACAACAACAACATATCCTAACCAAAAACAAATCTAATTCTCACATAAATGTATATACGTACACACACATATCTATCCCCCACGGTTTACCGCCTTCTCGTGGCTATGAGGAGTTCTTGGGTGTTGGGCTGTAGCCTACAGCGAGGGGATTCACCTCCTCGGCAGGTTCTCGCAAGGTGAGGAGTCCGGCATTTCCATCAGGAAACTCAGCTAAGAGTAAACCAATATCAGGATCCATCACCGTCCTGATATCAAACTAGTCGCATAGGGGCAAATCCCGCTCTGATCCACAAGCGCTGCGACTGCCTGTAATGGTGACGACCTAGGGCAGGCTTTGGCCAACATCTTCTCGGGACTACAGGGAACCAAAATGGATAAACCAGCAAATCTCCGGAGAATGGAACTTGTGCTGGGCCCCACGCAACCAGTGAAGATAGGCGATCCGAGTATCCAAGTACGTATATCTATTTAGATAAAGTGTCTATCTATCTAAACAACAGAATGACGCAAACCTTCACAGCCCATGCCATCTCTATAGTGGAATCATTAACATATTTGCATGCGTCTCCAAAATCGGGATCATTCATAGGAACTGAAAATACTTCAACCTTAAAGCTTGTCAAGTTAGCCATAACAACGATGTTTCACGAGGTTCACGATGTCAATAACAACAATGTTATATTAAGTTCTTCATCATGGAAATGTTAAAACTCTCGACATTGATCAACTCCTGAGGGATGTCTCATGCATTCGACCCCATTCGTGGCATATTTGGAGGTGATCGAATGCATGTCTGGCTTTTATAGTGATTCTCGGTGGCTTGTCGATGTCTCGACCCAGTACTGCTATCTACCCAGACAAGTCTGGCACAATTTGCAGGGCTCGGAGGGATGGAGAGCTTGGTGGGTGTGTGGAACTGGGACCGATCCCATGTGCACTGCAGAGCGGCTCCGACTACTCTGCTACACGCACCTCTATCCAAACGTTACAAGTCCATTATGCCTTCATAAAACATAAGCTCACAATCGAAGGAAAGATTTTCTGACGTTAGCGGAAATGGGCTTCCCACAGAGTGTGACCAACGAATAGAAACAGATCATTACATCAAGCATTTATTAGTTGAATACGCATGGAATAAAAGTGTGATAACCTACAACCACTACGATGCTGAGATATTCGAAAAACTTGGACCCTGGGGCAGATCGAACTACGATTACCCTTTCCGGGGACTCGCGTATTATACACTGCACCATGAAGCCTCTTACGATAACCTACGTTTACTTTTAAGCATAAGTAAAGATCACTAGCGAAAAGCCTATTCGAAAAACTCATACCCCGAAGGAGGAAGAGAACTCGGATGTGATCGAAACCTAAATCACATAAAAACGACACCTTTTCCTTCAGTTACTTTACAAGTGGGGAGACCACGCAGAATAAAAGATAACCTCAAAGCCGAAAACCTGTCAAAACCGGCCATGCAAAGAAAGATGCAAATTTTCAGTAGTCTTTACATATATGAAATTGTATATTTACTACAAATATATGTATGAATAGTGAAGAACAGTGTACGGAAGATCCTGACTGTTGCATTATACCCCCATTAGCAGTTTTATTAAAATCCGACATGTTTACGAAGACAGCAGGCACATAGATCGTCTTGTGATGGATCGTTGTACAAATATCTGATGCTGAGATATTTGCAAAACTCCGGAGAGCAGGTGTTTGCGGTGGGGATCGAACCAGATATCGTGCTTTTGAAGGGTGAAACGAAGGACCCGCATGGTATGGTGGTGAACGCGTTAGCTCCCGGAAAGGGTATTGACGGGTTCGATCCTTTCCGCAGAAACCTGTAGTCCGGAGCTCTGCAAATATCTCAGGGTCACTTTGGTTGTACTTAACATTGTACCCTGCAATGGAAAATTGTAGTAGACATTACGTAAAGGGTTAACGCTATATGATATCACTCAATATGGGCCACATCTTACTCTATGAAAAAGAAGAAATAGAAGGGAAAACAAGAGAAGGATTATATACAAGTTGACCAAATAGACCAGAAAAGTGTGCTCATATGCACGTTAACCATATTATCTTGCCATTGTTCCAATAGAAATTGGCCGTCACTGATTATCACTTCCTCCCAACGGTTTGCCGCGTCATTTTGAGTAGGAGGTGCTTCTGGGTGTCAGGTTGCGATGTACAGCGATGGGCTCATCCCCCTAGCAGGGTCTCCCAAGCTGAGAGCGAGTGAGGCGTTTCCATCGGAAAGCGTGGCTAAAAGTAAATTGCTACCAGGATCCACCACCGTCCTGGTATCAAACTAGTCGCATGGTGGCAAATCACCTCATCCGTGCAACAACTGCCTGTGGTGGTGAAGACCTGGGGCAGACTTCAGCCAGCCTGTCTTCGGGACTCCAGGTAACCACAATTGCTAAACGACCAAATCTCTGGAGAATGGAACTTATGCTGGAGCCCGCACAACCAGTGAGGACGGGTCATCCAAGTATCCAAGATTATTATGTATCACCCACCGTTTTAGATGATTTCTTTTAGATCACAACAATCTCTGTTCAGTTTCCCATTTCGTCCATCAAAAACTCGTTCCAAGATCAGGTACCTTTCGTCTACATAAAACAACTTCAATAAAGGAATTGATCTCAACTCATATAGTCGAGATTGACAACCCTTAGATTTTCACTTTTAGTGCTGAAATGCATCACATATGATGCAATCCCATTCAGTTGTTTATTTTGCCATTTTTTTGGTGTACTTCTTGCAATCACTCTGTAGCTTGTTTAACACGGATTTTATGGAAGGCGTTGTCCAGGAAGGGCTCTATTCTCCGCTTAGAAATATTCAAAATCTGGAGTGAATCGCAAGGTCTTGTGACCACGCTTGACCTCGCTCCATGGTCATACTATCATCCTGCCCAAAAAAGTGGCCGAAGGGATCTTCGTAGCTCTCGTTTGATACGGTCGTTGAGTGTACAAGCTCTTCGTGAAGTTCATCCCGTCGTGCATATCAGAGAGATTGGATGAGTCGCAACCTGTTGAGCCAACAGGTCTTCGACGGCGAGTTTGCTGTATGGAACACATCCAAACCGTGTCCATGGTCAGTTAAGCTTCTCGGGAATAACACGAGCCTCTAGTTATAACTTTTGTCAACAGATCAATGAGCACGAGCATCAACTGCAACGGGGAATTAGACAGGAAAGAAGATCAGCATGGGCTGCAGTCGGACCTCTCAAAAAGCCATCCACTACCAACCAACTAAAGGACTCCAAAATCTGCGCTCACCTTCTCGATTTAACGGTCCTCCCAGCGCTCTGTTACGCTGCAGAGACATAGGCTGGTACTCCAACCACGTCAAGAATAATGTGCACTGCTCACAAAGCGCTTGAATGATGTTTTCTGAAATATAATCGGCACACACATCATATAGCCGGAATACGAAGTTCTGATCTTCGAAATCTACCTCACCTTTGAGATCCGGGCAAACATATATCAATAGAGAAACATAGGTGGGCCTTTAACATAATAGGACGAGACGACAGACGGACGATAAGAACTGCAGAGACGACTTCACGAGGCTGCAGTCGCCCTTTGGACAGCCACCTACACACTGAACAAGCTTATTCTTAACTGAAGTCAATCAGCTATACTCGGAGCTGCAATTGTTTTACAGATCACGTTATGAGACTCGCAGTGGCCACTCAGCTCAAATAGAACGATCACCATGGATAACGATTGCAAGGTAAAGAAACGAATGGAATATGTGCTGAAGTCCGCATGATTCGTTAAGACCTGCCGCCCAAGTATCCAAGTAACTTACTTGATACTTGATAGTTGGACGACCCATCCTCACCGGTTGTGCGGGCCCTAGCATAATAACGGTGTTTTCAGAGATTTGCTGGTCAAAACATTGTGGTTCTCTGGAATCCCGAGGTCAACTTGGCTAAAGTCTGCCCCAGGTCTTCGCCACCACAGGCGGTCGCAGCCCTTGCGGATCAGAGGGAGATTTGCCATCATGCGACTTTGATACCAGAACGGTGGTGAATTGGTTTACTCTTAGCTGGGCTTCCTGATGGAAATGCCCAACTCCTACTCAGTTTGGGAGGCCCTGAACACCTCCCAGCCACGATGAGGTGATAAACCGTTGGGAAGAGTATCCAAGTAACTAAGTAGTAATAATTCACAAAGAAAAACAATAAATCATTGACCAATACCGAGGTTAACAGAAAGTCGATCCTGGTCGAGAGAAAGGCAAAGCAAGGGCCTGGCTTGGTGTAGCGAATAGCACGTGGGCGGCCGACGGGCGTAATCACGGGTTCGAAGCTCAGCTGAGGTTCCGAGTTGAGCACATATATCAGCATCCTTGTGGTTGTGTTTCACATCATTCTCACCTATGAGAATCAAGAAGCGGTAAATAAAAATCTAACATTTCATTTCTCAGAGTTAGAGAAAAGGAGACTTTCACATGTGACTATGAATAGGACGAAGCAGCGAAGACAGAAAGGGAGAATAAGCTTCCTTCGATTTTCATATCGATGAACAATGTCGTGCTACCTCATAGTTTTATAGTGTAGTACTTTTCATCAGACGCGTAAGTCTTAGGACAACCCCACAACAAGACGATCCAACCATTTTATTCTACGGTTTTGCCTAATAGACGTCACCATTGTCGAAGAATTCTGAAACAGATCGTGTCATTGTCTCCCACCTGCTGAAATCGTTCTCTCTCAAACAGGAATGAAGGAATAACTTATAAAAAGACATAAACGCAGAACGTAAGTTATAGAAAGCATCTCAAAAACTGGCGTATTCGGCCCAGTTCGTTTCCCTTATGGGAGACGATATTGATAGTCTCGATGAAGACGGACTCATTCGATAAGCAAAAGCTGACAAAGACAAAAAGATCCTTTAACCATTTCAAACTGCTATGTAAAGAAGAAATCTTACGAGTCTTGAGACTCCGAGCCAAGAAAATATTCAGAGATGCGGTAAAAGAACATTGCTGGGGTGGAACAGTGCTCATATTTATGGCAACTGAGCTATTGTTTGTTGTAAAAGCAAGTCTAAAAATTCATCAACAGTCTCCACTTTCAGAAGAACTGAGGTTCATCTACGTCTTTTTCAACCACTTCAGTGAAGAGATGCTCGGTCCTCTGCATCGACAGAGGGCCATATATGCAATGTATCACCTGTGTCACGTGTAATCCCGTTGATCGTCAAGTGACTCGTTCGGGCGCCAGTAAATCTTCCATTTTTCCCTGTCGCGTGTAAGAGTAGCCCAGTGGGTTCTGCTCGCTCTAGAGACTCGTCGAGCATCATATTTTTTTTCAAAGTTCTTTGTGAAGACCTCTGACCATCGGGTCGGTGGTCTTCCTGCAGTACGTTTGACATCCCGAGGAATCCAGTCACTAACGGCTCTTGTCCGTCGGTTGTCATTCATACGCATTACGTGTCACCTTATCTTCGATAGCTTGGCGTACAGAACGGCATCTTTGATTTTTGATCGTTGACGCAGGTCGGAGCTTCGCATCCCATCACCTACTTGTGTGGAACGGGATACTTCTAGCATCGTCCTTTCG